CAAGACTCAAAAGCTTTCCAGTACATGAATAACAAACTTACTGAGAGAAATCAGGAAACAACACTTTTTGCAATAGCATCCAAAAGAAAAAAAAAAAAAAAAAGAGAGAGAAATACCTATGGATCCGTTTTTCTAAGGATGTAAAATAATCTACAGTGAAAACTGCAGTACTCTGAAAAACGAGATTGAAGAGGATATTAGATAATGGAGAGAGATCCCACGATTTAGAGCAGGAAGAACCAATATAGTGAAAATGGCCATACTTCCAAAACTGTTACACAGATTCAGTGCAATCCCAATCAAAATCCTTAACATATCTCACAGAATTAGAGAAAACAATCACAAAATTCATCTGGAACAGAAGAGACCTAGAATAGAAAAGGCAATCCTGGGCAGCAAAGACAAGATAGATAATATCACATTCCTGGACTTGAATTATACTATAAAGTTACAGTAATAAAAATTTTTAAAAGAACAGCATGGTATTGGCAAAAGAACAGACCCAAAGATCAATGGAACAGATTAGAAGATGCAGAAACAAATCCAGAGACACTCAGCCACCTTATCTTTGGCCAAGGTGCCAAATATATTCACTGGAAGAGAGCAGCCTCTTTGACAAGTGGTGCTGGAAAAACAGGCTCTGCACATGCTGAAGATTAAAGTTGGAACCCTATCTTTCACCATGCACTAAACTAAATTCAGAACAGATCAAAGATCCAAATATTAAAAGAGAGACAATAAATCTGTTGAAAGATAGAGTAGGGAAAACTCTTGAAGACACTGGCGTAGGCAAAGACTTTATGAACAAAACCCTGATTGCACAGGAACTATCACAGAAAATCAGCAGCTAAGATCTCACCCTATTAAAAAGCCTTTTCATAGCAACAGAAACCACCAGCAGAGGGAGGAGACAGCCCACAATGTGGAAGAAAATATTTGCCAGCTGTTCCTCAGACAAAGGATTACTATAAAAACATATTAAAAACTCAAAAAATTCAGTCCTCCCAAGTTTAAAGACCCAATGTAAAATTGGGCATCTGAGATGAATACACACTTCTCAGATGAAGAAATACAAACAGCAAATAAATATATGAAAAAATGTTCAACATCACTTGTCATTTGAGAGATGCAAATTAAAACAACACTAAGACTCCAACTCACCCTGAAAAGAAAGGCTATTACCAAGTAATCAACCAATAACGAACACTGGAAGGGTTGTGGGGAAAAAGGAACCCTTCCTCACTGTTGGTGGACATGTAGACTGGTGCAACCACTCTGGAAATTCCTCAAAAAACTAGGATTGGAGGTCTCATTTGGCCCAGCTATTCCCCTTTTGGGTATCTTCTCAGAAGAATTAAAAGCATCACACCACAGCAATACATGTACATCCATGCTTATAGCAGCAAAATTTGTAATAGCTATATTGTGGAAACAACCTAAGTGTCCATCAACTGAGGAATGGATAAAAAAGATGTGGTTTTTTTTTGGTACCAGGATTTGAACTCACAACCTCATGCTTGCCAGGCAGGTGCTTCTGCTGCTGAGCTAAACCCTGGTCCAATGTGGTATTTTATACAATGCAGCATTACTCAGCCATAAAGAAGGATAAATTTAACTTTTATAGGTAAATGGGGACCATCCTCGTAAGTGAAATGAATCGGACACACATGTGTAAACATCGCATTGTCTCACTAGTCTTGAGAAGCTGAAAGAAACTATATATATAAAAGATAAGGTAAGTTATACTACTGATTTCTCTGAGCTCACTGAAGGAAGGTTTGTGGTAACGTTGTTTGGAGAACTTCTTGCAGATATCTTGTACTCAAGTAACTGATTTAAGATAACAATATGCAGCGTATACACCATTGTTAGTCCCTTTTAAAAAGCCATGGTTTTGGCAAGGCAATTCCTGTTGGTATAAGTTCCAGGTCTCATGACCGCCTCCAGGACTCTGCAACTCTGGCATTTAGCTTCCCAATACTGAGATTTCTTTGTTTACAAACCCATCAAGATTCTGGTCTATTTCTGGAAAACTCCTTGGGTCAACATCTGAAGCTAGATTTTTGCTTGTGTGTATTGCCCCTGTATTCAAGCCCTGGCTTGGGAAATTCCACAGGCGAGAACCTGGCCTCTGTCTTCTCCAGGCATCCAAATTATCCCTCAGCCCCCCTTGCCTGTATTTTTTCTGATAACCTAACAAACAAAGGGAAGAGAGGTGAGCGCGATGTCTGCTCTATGTCCAGGCCAGATTCCAGTGATGTCTCTTTGAATGGAACAACTCTCACCGTGCATATTCAGGACCAAAGGTGACATTTGAGAGGGATCCTGGGAAGTGAGAGGATGCTACGCATTTCCAAAAATCCTTAGTGGCCTTCTTTGTTCCTGTCCTTTAAATTAACTTGATTCAGGGACAGACCTGGCATTTCTAATTCTGCTCAAAGAAAGACGGTCTGACACACAGCCAACCTGGATTCCCACAGCCTCCCTTGGGAAAGCCAGGTGTGATTCTCTTGTCACTAGGATGGGCCAGCACTCATCAAAGCTCTCCTCCTTCTGGTAAGAATTTATTGAGGTCTACAAGAAGCAGCCACCATGCACTACTGTTTTGTGTCCTGCCATGTGCCTTAAGGTCCAGCACAGGCAGACACACAGCCCCATTGCACGGCAGGCCAACAGCTCCCGGCCAGCTGACCTGGTCCTGTGTAACAGGGACAGAAACTGCCCAGCCACACTCAGGGAAGCACTCCTTGTTCCTCACCCTTTACCACGCAGCTGCTTCTTCATTTCAGGTGCTGTCACTTGCAGTATCTATTTCTGTTCCTATTTTAGTATCAAGTCAGATCTCCTGGTTGCAGACACAACTCTAACTTCCTTCCTCGAGTAATTAAAAAGTCCAGGGGTGGCTCATCTTCAGGTTCCGTGGGATCTAGGTGTTCCAACGCCACTGGGAACTTCATTTCTTCATCCTTCAGCTCCGCTTCCCTAAGGTTGACTTTCGCAGGAGGAAGCTGCCTTGCAAGCCTGAAGTTCACTTTCTGACATCTTAGCAACATTGCAAAAGAGCAGATCTCTCTCCACTCCAGAAGCTGGGGCTGACTTACTTGGTCACCTTGGGACTAACTGTGCACTGCTGAATCACATTCTCACAGAGGCAGGAGATGGGATCAGCTTCAGCTCAGCCCACAGACAGGCAGCTGAGGACAGGGAACCGCAGAAATTTGATCTCCATACTTTAGGGAGCTTGAAGTCCAGAATCAAAGTGTCATGAAGACAACACCCTCCCTGAGATTCTCGACAGGCTTATCTCTTGCCTCCTAGGTTTTGCTGGCCAGCAAACTTTGGTGGTCAGATGTATCACTCCAACCTGCCTTTCTCTTCACATATCTGTGTCTCAGCTCCTCTTATAAGAGAAGCCAATTCTATTGGATTATGGCGCACTGTAACGATCTTATTGTATAACTTGATTTCATATGCAAGACTCATTTCTTGTATTAGTGACTTTCCCATCCCTGGGATGTAATGCTTGACACCGCAACTTAAAGGAAGAGAGGGTTATCTTGGCTCACAGTCGCAGTGGGTTCAGACCAGGTTGACTGGCTCCACAGCAGACATGGCATGGTACAGGGACATGACAGTAACAAGCCACTTCCTTAGTAGCAGCCATGAGACAGAGTGTGAAGAGGGGAGCTTCAAAAAAGAACACAGGCTTCCAGGTCACACCCCCACTGACCTGCCTCTATCCAGGCGCCACCTCCTAAGAGCACATTCTGCTGCTAAACTCATAATAAATGAATCCACCAATGAGTATATGAGACTTTGCAGGGGCAATTTAGATCTAAGGCATAGCAACTCTAATTGCAAACAAGGTTACATTTGCAGATACTGGGGATGTAGACTTAGTGGTATCTTCTTGGGGAATATGAAAGCATCCTAAAAAGGCCGGTTCCTCAGAACCAGGTTCCTTCTTACAATCATTACAAAGTCTAGAAGGCAACCTAGACTCCCTATGACGAGGAAGCCAGGGGAGTCTGCCGGGAGCTTCGCATGCTGGGGGCCCTACTCAGAGCAGTAGCATCCATCTGCTCGGCCCCAGGCAGGCTCCGAGGAGAGGACTCTGCCAAGTTGTGAAATGTGGGGTGGATGAAGCAGAGCAGGCAGAGAGGGAGAGGGTGCTTCTTGCCGGGGAGAAGGAGCAGAGCTTGTGTGATGAGGGCAACGAGCTCAAAGGGAAATCAAAGAGGAAAACGTCAAAGAGAAAACGGGGCAGAACCCGGAGGGTTACATGAACCACGCAGGGGAATCAGACGTCAGGACACCATGCCACATCCTCACGGTCCTGACGTCATGAAAAGCCAGGAAGAGTAAGTGCAGGCTCCCGTGGAGCTGCTGACGCTTTGGTCAAACCCTCACTGACCGGTGAGGTCAGTGGTGTCAGCCCCATTTACACTACAGAGAGGGAACCTGAGGTTTCCAGAGTTCACACGGGTGAGGCAGAGGCTGAACGATCTGGGCCAGGCTGTCACCTGAAGGGACCTCGAGGAGTCATCTTACTTGGGGAAAGGGCACTGCAGGACATGTGGTAGCAGCGGTGGACAGATGCTAGGCCAGAGCCTGGGGTCCAGTCCTCTCCTCACACTCATGAGCTGTGCGACCTTGGGGGAGGTGCAGGGTCCTCTGGGGAGTGAGCAAAAGGTGAAGGGATGGGAAGGTGACATGCAGGAAAACAGAAGCAGCCTGGAGACCTGTGATCACCGTCACAGTAACTGTCACATTGTTGTTACTTTGAGATGATGAGACACGGCTGCCCTGGACAGACAGACCTGCAGGAAGAAAAACCCTCAGTGATCTTCCTGGTCACCACTGGCCGCCCTCTTTGGCAGGGTTGCGTGCTCCCCATTATTTCCTCCCAGCACAATCAGTGCCTTGATTAAAATGACTCCATCAGATTCTTCGGAGGTGCAACCAACAAAGGAATCAGAAACAGCGGCTCCTTTCTGAGGATGGAGCCTGGAAATCTGGAAGTTTCCTGTGAAAGCAAAGCAGTGTGGGAGGCGCTGGACACTGAGGTGGAGGCTGGGGAGCGAGAGCTGCTTTCTGTGTGTGGGAGACACCGGCAGATGCCTGGCCTGGATTTTGGGGGTTTTCTGAGGGTAAGCATGGCTGGATTTGCAGTGCTCCTTAGTTTGGTCGACTTGGGAAATGGAGGCCTCGTTTGGGTTAGAACTGCCCTAGCCTGGCCCCCTGCTGCAGCCCCTTCCTGCCTTCTTCTTCCTCACAGGCCCGCTCTGCATCTGCCATCCCGGCGGCCACCGTGCCTTCCCAGACTCCCCCACCCCCAGGCGGCTGCTCCTGCTCCCACATCCCAGCTGAGCAGTCTGCCCTGCGTGTGGCCCCTGTGGTCTCCAAGGAGATGAGATTCAAGCCACAGACACTTCTTTACTTGGTTTAGTAGCCATGTTTTTTTTTTTTTTTTAAAGTAAAAAGAAACAGATGAAATCAATTTTAATACTAGATTTGACCTAGTCTAATATATGCAAAGGATTGTTACCTCAGCACAAAATCAATATTTAAGATCATTGCGGCTCTACACCGTTAAGTCTCCAAAATGCAGTGTGTTCCAGCTCAGAGTGGCTGCATTCCCAGTGCTCAGGAGCCACCTATGGCTGCCACATTGGACAACACTGCTCTGCATGGCAGGCAATGCTTCTCCAGGTACTAACATGGTACACTGTGCTCTGTGGAGCCAGAGCCCAGGAAGGGGTTTTCCCCATCCAGGGAGCCTGGCATGGTGCCTGCTCCCTGGAGCATGGAAGAGCTTAGTTTTGGAGTGAATGCGTGATTGAGTGTGAGGATTCCTTTTTCGTCCTGCAAACAAATAGTGTAAGGAGATGAGGGCTCTTGTTCTCTGGGAAGGGCAGTGCCCAGGGACCCTGTCCCAGGTCCCCTTCTCTTTTCTATGCTGCAGTAATCCTGTGCCAAAAAGGAAAGAGAAAATCCAACAGGTCAGTATCTGTCCATCTAGCATTTATTCAACCATAACTGCTTTTTAGCTCATTCATTTGCCCATTCCTGGAACACTCCCAGGGCACTCTGTCTAGGCACCAGTGCATTCCCTGGCAAATGAGAAGCTGCTGTCCTCTTCCTCTGCTGTCCTCCGGTCTATCTGTTCCAGTGGACACTTGGAAAACTGGAAGAAGCCTAGGTGAACCAGTGGTCTCTGGTAAAATAGATGCCATCCCTTTCCCTGGATTCTACGCTTCCCTCTCCTCTTCCTGGAGCCTACCGGATGCTCAAAAGTCTACACTGATGAGTGGGATACTTGTTGAGCTACAGACTAAACAGACGAATGAATGAGTTAATTCTCGCTTGCTTTATAATTACTAGTGTTTTGGATTGGCCTGACTAAAATAGAAGCTCCTTATGATCAGGGACCATAACATAGAAGATATTTGGAGTTGGGAATCGTCTGATCAAAACCGCAGCACCGTGAGTATTTGCTGAGAGCCCTGAGCACGGTTAACCTCTCTGGGCCTCTTTATTGGGGTTCAGCTGCAATCTACACAAGATAAGCGGGTGCTCAGTGCATACCTGTTCAGTTGGATCAGACTGAATTGCAGTTTCACAGCAGAGTCCTGGGAGCTCTGAGGAGGGAAAGTTTAATTTGGTTGGGGGAAGAATTAGCTGGCATTCGAACCCCAAGAGAAGGATCCATTGCTGAGTCAGCTTGGGGAAGATTCTACATCTTAACACAGATACAGCTGCCGGGTCTCTTTTCCCAAAGCACAGGCAGAAGAAAGCATCTCACTGAATGGGTCCACCGAGGAGGGAGGGGTGGGGCCCAGCCTCCGAGCCCAGCGGGAGTTCCTGTGTGCTTAACTGCTCTGATGGCCCCCTTCTTTTCTGCCTGTTAGAAAGGGATGAGACCTGGCCACATTCAACCCAAGATGGCGCTGTTTGAATAATTTATCAGGTCACTCAGCAGGGAGCTCATGAATGCTTAAACTATGTAAAGGCTTTCCAGGGAGGACCAGCATCCAAGATCTTGGGAGCTTCCTGCCATCTGCATCTGGGTCCCAGATGGGGCCTTCTGGCAAGGTCATGGCCCCCTGCTGTGGCTTTCAGACTTAGAGCCTTTTAAGGAATATCATGTTCCTTATCTTTGGGTCCTGAGTTCTAGGCCCACATGAATTATGTATCCAGTACTTGGCAGAGTCACAGTGTCCCTGACCCAAGGCCCACCCTTCCCCCAGCCCACACCATGCGTCCTGGGTGGACAGCAGGTGGCCTCTGGCCTCTGCCCTCTCAGCTCCCTGTGGCTGTTAAGACACCCTGGCTGCTACTGGCTTCTGTTTAATCCAATCTTTGCCAGTCTCCCTGATGATGGGTACGAGCTAAAGAGAAGACAGTATGGCACTGTGAATATCTGTGCCTTGCACAGATTCAAGGTCCCCATTGCTCTGAATCCTCCCCTTCACAGCTGCACATTATGGGATGGAGTTATACCAGCCTGGGGTGGGTGTTGCACATGGCATGGGTGACATTACACCTTGAGACAGACAGGTGAGGGAGTCTGCTCATCATCCAGGAGGAAGACGTGGCCTCGTCCTCTCTAGATCATGAACTGCATACAGATAGAGTGCTATGATGGAGCTACTTAAGCTAAAGTGAGCAGGGAGGACCTCCTGGCGGAGGTGGCTTTCAAAGAAAGTTCTAGAAAAAGAGATTTCCGAGCAAAAGCACAGCAAGACTAATTGTCAGAAGGAAACATGCTTTGCCAGGTGTGTTCCTGGGATGAAAAGAAGCCATGTGGCCAGAACAGGGAGGAAGAGGGGTGGGGCTGAGAATGAGGGGTGCTGACTCCTAGATCTAACACCCTACTCTGGGACTCAGTAAAACACCCCTTCTACTGGACAGAAGCCCCTCACCAGACCGCAGGAGGGAGCATGGGGGAATTATAATACCCACTGACTTCCCCACCAGGAAGCCCGGCACAGTGTGCAGCCGTAGACTCATACTAGAAGGATCTGGGTAGGACCATCATCTACTTGAGATGGAGCCAAGTGGAGACACAGCTCAGTGCTGGTCAGGTTAAACTGAGATACTAGGAGCCGCTCTGGAGAGGCCGCTGAGCAGGTGGCCGGATGTGCCTCTCTGGAGCTCAGGACAGAGCTCCGGGTGTCCTCAAAGATTCATTTTACACACTCCTTAAGCGGAGCAGCAGAGGAAAATCTTCCTCATGCCTGCATCTGCCAGGAGGGTGCTTGGCAGCAGTGAGAGTCCAGCAAGGGCCTGGAATCAAAATTTAAGGAGGTGATTGCCGTCAGCATCCTGCAAATGTGGGAGCGGAACCTAAGCGTGATGGGTGATTCAAATGAGACATGGCGGTCATTCAACAATTGTGCTTAATTGGACACTTTTTTTGGGAAAGAAAAAAGAACTTCAACTATGAATTCACAACATATAAAAAAAACAAAAATAAATCATAGCCCTAAGCATTAAAGCTGTAACTAAAAAATCTTTTTTCAAAAATGAAAATTTTCATGACCTTGAGGAGGAAAAAGATCTATTGGATTTTACCAAAGGTGAGAACTTCTCTTTGAAAACCCCACTACAAAATGAAGGCAAAAAGAAAAGAAAAGAAAAGAAAAAGCTACAGACTGGATCAGGCTGGTCCTGGCAAGAATGTGGAGAGAGGGATCTGGGCAGGTCGGGAATGTAGATTGGTGCAGCTGTGACAGAAACAGCATGGAGGCTCCTGCAGAAATTCAAGCTGGCGCTGCCACCTGATCCGGCCACAGCGCCCCTGGGACATCCCTAAATGGGGAACTGACCTCCTCTCCAGGCTCTCCACATTTGCACACTCACTGCAGCGCCATCATCAGGCCAAGACAGGGAACAACAGGCAGATTATCCAGGAAGGGAATGTGGGGAGCCTCTTGCAGTGTCATCCAGTGAAGAAGGGGACCCCGCCATTGGCCTCAGCATAGACAGCCCTGCAGTAAGTGAAATAATTCAAAGTCAAAAAGGAAAAAATGGTGAACTTTCTTATAAGTGAAATCTGAAAAAAAAAATTCAAATAAAAAAATTAGAGGTCTAGAAACAGAAAACACAACTGTGGTTATTTCGGGTGGAGACCACAAAGGTACAGTTTTATAGGACGAGAAAGCCAGAGATCTAATGCACGGCACAAGGACTGTAGTCAATAACGCTGTATCGTATGCTCGGAACAGGCTAAGACAGGGTCTCAGGTACTCATCCCACAAGAAAAATAAAAAGAAAGAAAGAAAAATAAAAACAAGGGGGAGGAAATAAGGAGGGAAGGAAGGAAGGAAGAAAAGACAGGCAGATAAGTATATGAGATGTTAATTAGCAGCACTATAGGAATCATCTCATTATACATGTCAAGACAAATATATCAAAATATCATGCATACTTTAAATATATATAATAGGAGATCAAATTAACTAAATAAAAATGTGAAGTTTAAAAAAGACTGACCAGATTTGTGGTACATACTTCAGACACTGGGCTTCTATCTAAAATACATAAGGGACTCTTTCAACTCAATCATAAAATAACAAGCAATCTAACTTTTTAAAAAGTAGGCAAGAGATCTGAACCGACCATTCACAAAAGAAAATAAACAAATGGCCAATGAAGAGGAGTTGATGACCAACGTCATCAGTCACCAGAGAAATACCAGTTTACATCAAAATGCTGCTTTACATCCAAGAGAAGAGATAAATTAGAAGCATTATGAAAATAGCAAGCGTTGCTGAGACGGGAGGCTGCTGAAATTCTCCTAATACTGTTGGTGGCAACGTAAAATACACAAACGCTCCATAAAACAGAAGAGCAGTTCCTAATAACCATACAGTCAGGAAAACACCATGTCTATGCAAAGGTTTATACAAAGATGTTTATAGGGTTTGTTCATAATTACCAAAGGCTTGGACATACTCATTTATATGAAAAGGAGAAATAAAACTGATACATTCATACATCAGAATACTGCTCCACAGTGAAAACAGAGGTACTGATACATATGCAATGATTCTCCAAACCCTCATGAATGATGAGCTGCAAAAGAGGTCACATGGGAGTCATTTCGTATGATTCCATCTATGGAGGAACCTAGGAAGGAAAATCTAGCCTGTAACCAGGAGATAGAAAGCTGATCCTGTTTTCTGAGGCTGGAGGCAGGACGGGGCTTTGGACAGACAGCACAGGGCAAGAGGGAACCTTCATGGGGATTATCACCTTCTGACTCTTGACTATCTGTGCTGGTTTTGTGCCAAGAGCCCTGACTTGTATATGTAACACAGGCTCATTACTGTATGTGAGACAGCGATGGACTGACTTAGAAATACTTCAAAATTCATCTTTGGTTGATGACCT